ACGTACGTACGTACGTACGTACGTACGTACGTTAGTACGTACGTAGTAGTAGTAGTAGTAGTAGTTAGTAGTGTAGTGTGTGTATATATAAATAATTTTTCTTTTTCAAAAAGTATCAGTTTCACGAACCATCTTCAGGGTCTTGCATATAGCACTGGGTGAAACGCGAAGTCAGAGTAACATTTTGTTATCTAAACCTTTGATTTTTATAATGATCATCGTTGAAATTTCCTTTCCAGGAGTCACAAAGGTTTCAAACTCTATAATCGTATCGCTATCAATACTTAACTAAGCCTTGTGCTGGTTTAGCACTGTCAGATTAGTTGCCTGACACCCATTCACGTTGCTATGTCAATCTAAACATTTCCAATCTAAACGTGGAGTACCCCCGGGATTCTATGGGATCAAAAATAAAAACCTCGAGGTTATATTTGGGTTCAGCGACTCTGAAAACCAAATCTTAGACACCGTCATGCCTGGGTGACCTTCCAGGTGGCGTTTGTCCCACTCTTGATACCCCCTTGTTAGAAGGGCTATGGCAAGTGAATAATGACACAAACCCCTGGACCATCCAGAGAATACTTCCCATGTTTGATTCTGCTAACTTCAGAACTGTGGGAGGAGTTAGCGGGACGTATATATATACATACAAAGCTACAAGTTGAATTAATGTAAAATATATATATATATATATATATATATATATCTGTGTTTGCATATGCATATATAGAAACATCAAATTTCAGATACTACAAAATAACATGTGACATATACTAAAAAGGCAGACAGCCTAATTAAGTGTATTGATCTATTGATATTAAGTTTGTAATACGTCACATAATTTTCGAATACACTATATCTTGCGGCATCTCAGGTTATTGTTTCACTTTTGTGGAGCGTGAATCTTAACCTTGAAACTGTGATATACCTATAACCGTCCCTCCTCCTCCCCAGTGTCTCAGCTGTAAGTCTAAAGACTTGTATCGCCAAATATTAAATTTCGATACCTGTGGTGGGCACAACACAGATAGTCTGTTGTGTAGCTTTATACTTAACACCAAAACAAACAAACAAAGAATATTTATAACTTTATGTTGTCGATCGATTAATTTATAAGTACATATTCCAATTAGCTGAATTTGAGGTTTTACTCTTACCAACGAATCATAATAAAGTTAAAATGATTGATCTTAATGCATTTCTCTTACTGGAAATTCGCGATGGGCTAGTTAAGGTATAATTTCTATTGTGTTGTTTATCATATTTTGAACCATGTTTCGTTAGCTTCATTATTGTATATTGTATTAACTAAGGCATTGCAAAGTCTTGCCTTTTGACTAGTACTTTATGTATTGTAACCTGTAATCGTCTTTCTGAATGTTTTCGTATTGAATAAACAGAGCATGGTGATAGCGGTTTTTGACAAAAGATAGTTGAAATGTTTTATTACAAATGCCCTCTCTTGCTAGAAACCAAGGAGTAGACCAGTCAGTAAAATAACAGTTTATAAAATCGTAGTCATAATAGCCTACAGCACGCAAAATGGCACGAGCGATGATGTTATATTCGTGGTCTACTACAATGAGCTAGAAGAAGAAAAGTTTTATGTGATATAATGTTTATTTTTATCAGTTATTTTCTATCTCGTCAAGAAAAATTGTCCTTTTGGTCAACTTTCAATTGCTCAAAATCTGTTAAGATGTAAAAAATGAGTTTATTCGCTCACAACAGAATCTGTACTAGAAGTACATTTTATGCTGCTTGGACTTTATAGCTACTTATATACTGTGTAGATTTAACGTGGATGTTAACTAAATATTTGGTGATACTGAACTCAGATAAATTACATAAACTGAGGCGATAAAAATGTATTCTAATTACAGTTTAACCAATTTTTTAGAGGAACGCCATTATACACGTTTTATAAACAATTGTCTAGCTTCTAACTGACACTCGTCAATATTTTAAATAAATTAATAAATATATATTCACCATCTTATTTCTTTTTAAATTAAGAAATAACGCATATCTTTTAAAGAAAGTTTTAGACATGTGCTGTCATGTTGAACAGTTTCCTGTGTTTTTTTTTTCCTGTTTTGGAGACACGTTCGGACTTAGGACTGATGCAGAACCCAGCACACAGTCCGAAACGTCGTTTCCAAAATCAGGCAGAAGACAAACCAATGACATTCTGTCGACTTCCCTAAACAGGTCAGCTGTAATATTTCAATTTATTAGAAGTAAGTATTTGTACAACCTTTGCGTGAGAGCAAAAGGATGTCGGGAATGCGTGCATTAGTACGTTAACTGGAGCGATGAAATTAGGGTCAACAGTAAAATTCAAGACCATCAGACAAATGCTAGAATGCGCATTTATTTAGAATATGCAAATATTTAAATTTGAGCGGCCACTAACTTGAAATAAATAAGTACTTTCTCCCAATTTTTCAGGAACAATTTTAAATATTTGCTACTATGCTAGAACGGCGTGCAGTGCATAATGCAGGAATGAAATATGATACACTTAAAATGGTGAGTTTGACCAAAATTTTACGAAAACCTCAAGCGAATATACTTACAAGGCGAACTCATTTTTCTTTTTCATTTTATTTGCAATATAAATCCGTAATTCAAACAACATATCTACCTAAACGTCTACCTTGAATAGCAAAGTTAAACGAAACCTTTAACCAATTTAATATTGGTCAAAACGCCCTTAGCAACGTAAAGTCGTGGAAACCTACAATATGCAACCATGACAACGAAAGTGACGCAGACGCTTATTCTTGTTATTTGTTAAGGGAACGTTAGCACTAGATCTAACGCTTACACTATAGCGGAGGAAACCAATTTTTACAGAAGAATATCGAGAGGCAAGGGAACTGTTTTCCTACACCTCGAGGGGATTTGTTTTTTTAATTTTCTGTCACAATGAAGTGAAAAGAAATTCGTTACTGTAGGAGAATAAGATCAGGTATACCTGGTAGAACTTTCTGACATCCTGTTTTACACCTAACCGAACAAAATGCTGGAATGTTTTTGACAGAAAATCAAATACTGTCGATATTTCATTTTAGCGTTGGAGAAAACTAGATAGTATCCACAATTAACTTTTTTAAAGTGTATAAGTTAAAATCAGTAAATTAATTCAAATCTAATGTTGTTTTCTCTCTCTCTGTCTTTCAAGTTTAGGAAAATAAATGTACAAATTTATTCCATGACTGTAAATATTACTATGTAATTATTAATTAATAGATTTTAAATCTTCTAAGATTAGTAAACGTGCACCTTTTCGCAATCCAAGAAACAGCATTATTTTTGGTATTGTTTTAACCTCACTTTTTAATATATCATAGCCTGCGTAAATTTAACTGATTTAAAACCTCGTGTATTAAAACCTTTCTTTTTTTCCTATTTTAAGTCAAATTAATATATGTATAAATATTGTTCATAAAAGTGTCATATATAGTTAAAGTACACAAGCGTGTTTGTTTTAGTTGAGTGTTATATTTATATTTCCTGTAGCTCCAAAAGACGGAGGGTAAGCAGCAGTGCAGGGACCCCTATAGGGGAAATTTAATAATGTGAGTAAATATTTTATTATTATTCAAATATGTAATAAGTAACTGTCGTAATACCTTAGTACAGATGAGCTTACTGATATTACTGGCCACTGACTAAAATGTTATCTCTCTTTACTATTTTTGTTAACTACTGAAGAATCAAGGTAATAGCATCTCGTTTTCATGCAAATTGTACCCTAAAAGATACACCAATAAAAAGAAATATTATGCGACACTGCTCATTAACCACCCAAAGCTACAATATGGTTTAAATACTAAATTACACAATTAATTTATGAAATTCGTTAAATCGAATTTGATTAGCTGCTGCAGAATAATGTTTACTCGAAAATTGAGCAGATTATCAATTATCTAGCGTTACATTAAAAGAAGTATAATTTAACCTAAATTAATTTACTTTTTTTTAAATTCTAGCTCACTATTCACATCTCTGTTTACTATCTCGAATTGTGATCCTGTTCATGACGACCATTACTCTGTTAAATTGCAGTTTCTAGAATTGACACAGCAAAGATAAAAATATCTGGGTATTCCACGAACATACGACATAATCCATTCAGCTCCAGGGCCCGTCAGAAAAATTCCGGGAGCTGGTGCTACCCAGCCTCCTCCCACTTCCATATGCCTCCTATCGCACAAAGTTTTAGCACAATTTTTCTCACTTCCAAAATTTCCTACTGTTTTTACTTATGACCATTTTTCATCCCATCCTCACCTCTATTCAACCATCATCATAATAACTAACCTTATCTTCAACCCCTTTTACAATTACTAATTACTACTCTCTTTCTGTCCTTTTCCCTCTTCTTTCCTTCCTCTCCTTCTCGCTCGCTCCCTCCTTGTTACCGGGCTCTGGTGCTTTGATACCAGGACCTCCCTCTCCCCCTCTGACAAACTCTGTCCTATGCACTCAGTAGTTTCAAAAATAGAATTGTCTGAAATCATCTTTATAAACATCTTCAGTGACCATACTGAGTCCAACGTGACCACGTGTGAACAAACTATCTATGAAGTCTGTCCGACGTGTTATCCCTGTGTGGATTATTTGGTTGATATCAAGCCAGTTAGTACATAAATCTTAACCATTGGTCTGAATGTCTGTAGAATGGCGAGACCTGCTCAAGCACTTTTGATGTGATAGTCGAATATGTTTGTGGAAGCAGACAAACGAACAGTTTTGTGCCAGTTTAAAGGATGTTATGAACTAGTAAATTAATTAAAACATTAGACTACAGCCTTCCAGCTGTCATTAGCTAGATTTATAACAATAATGGAGGCACAGGACAACAGGTATTGTTGCCCCCCCCCCCAGTGGCGCAGCGGTATGTTTGCGGACTTACACTTCTAGAAACCGGGTTTCGATACCCGTGGTGGGCAGAGCACAGATAGCTCATTGTGTAGCTTTGTGCATAACTACAAACAAACAAACAAACAGGTATTGTTTAGAACATGTTTTGCAATAATACGGTGGCAAACAAAAATCTGTAAGCATAATCAAGTGAATTAATTTGGGGGGAACATACTACATGTTTTGACAGAGCGTTGGTCTGTCTTCCTCAGGTATTTAATATGTCCCCACCCCCGAAATAAATAACTTTATTCTACTTTAAATCGTTGTTTGCCAACTTATTATTATATTAGCATAACTTGCTTCCTTATTCAAGTATGCTTTGCAAGCTCTCCAGTGGCTCAGCGGTGAGCCTGAGGGACCACACAGCTAAAAACTGGGTTTCGATACTCATGATGGGTACAGCACAGAGAGCCCATTGTTTAGCTTTGTGCTCAACGACGAACAAACATCGATGGACGACAGACAACACTTAACATAGCATACTGATGTTACTTAAAGCTCTCTATCTTTTTATATATTTATATTCACAGCCGCAATATGAAAAATGCCCTTCAATATAAATTATACGTGTTTCATCGGG